ATACAGTAGAGCATCGATTATCCGACCCCCGATTAACCGTCACATCGGTTAACCGACCGTTCTAGTCGGCAAATTTCAAATGTCCGCTAGTGATGTGGCGCTACAATATTTGGCTATGTCTTGGCTACTTTAATATTATTTTTGTTAAATTTTTGCATATTTTAGCTGGCCAGTATTTAAACGAGGCTTAATTTTCTAATTATGAGTGATTGTTTGTTTTGTGAGCAATAAAATAATTTAAAAATAATTTTTAACGATACAATAGCGACGATTATTATTTTTAAAAAAAATTGTTAGGCTTAACATAGATGAAAATTCAACGTGAAGTTGGTTAATAGCGATATACTAATATACTAATTACATGAGATATACTAATATACTATACTAATAATGTATTTTTTTAATTCTTTTCGGTTATCCAATTTTTTCAGTTATCTGACCAACCTGAGTCCCCAATTGAGTCGGATAATCGATGCTCTACTGTACATAAAAGTTATATTAAAAGACCGAAATAATGATGAACACATCATAATTAAGAAACTGGCATTATGTCACAAGTGCAGTACAATAACTTCTATCTTTTTCATGTTTTCCATAACCAAGTCAACCATAGAGTTCTACACACAATTAATTACAATCAGTTACAGACCTCTTTAAGTATCAAACAATAAAGCAATGAACAAAATATGTGAATATTGATATATAGTATACAGGTAGCCCTCGGTTTATGCCACAGTTCCATTCCTACAAAAGCCAGTGCAAATCGAATCAGTATAAAATGAACCCATATTTACAGTGAGGTATAGGGTTAGGTTCTACATAAGTGAAAGATAAGCAAATAATTTTGTCTATTAATACAATATACATATAAACTTAACTTTTTAAAATATATTTTATCATAAAATAAAGTGAAATGTTTATATTAAAAATTTTAGCTTCAGATTTCTTACATTTTTCGGGAAAAAGTATCCATCTTTAATTGTTTACATTTTTGTTTTCTTTCATTAAGAATTTCGGAATATGGTCGAATATTATGCTCCTTTTTACATTTGCACTTCGCTCCCAATCATTGTCTAACTCACAAAGTTCATTTGTCAAACTTCCCGTAGTTGAAAGGATACGTTAACCCGACGTAGAGCTACAGATGAGCAGAGACACTGATTGGTCGACCACTGGTCACCATAGCACATATATAAGGTCAGTTTGAGCAGGAAAATTGAGGGTGGCTAAGGAGAGAGATATCGTCTGACTGACAAGAAGTAGATATTGTCTGGCTAATAAAAAAGTATCGTCTGGCCAACAATAAGTAGATTTGTCTCACTAACGATAGTTTGTGATCGCCAGAAGTGCTACTGCATCGTAAGGTGTTTTCCTGAACAAATTGATATGGGATACATTCATTGGTACTATGGATTCGGATGCCATTTATTGGACTATTAAGTTTAGTAATTTGACTCGTGGGTACCTAAACGTTTAGTATTTTAATATTAATTTAATGCAAATGTATATATACCCAATAATATTAAACAGAAAAAATAAATATATTCAATAAAAATCTTTGTTTTAATGAATATACAATGTCACGGCTCAGTAAATACAGCAACACTGAAATGAAAATCAGTCTAGCATAGGAAAAATTGGAGAATTACACCGTGAAACGACAAATTGCAGAGCAGCATTACTGTGAATCAGCGTAAATTGAGCCAGCATAAACCGAGAGCTACCTATATATATATAAATATTCAAATATATGAGTATTTGAGTATAACAACTCTGTAATACTCAAATATATTACAAGAGTCAGTAATAAATAATGTTAATACATATGTGAATATTTGGGTAGGTCTATTAACAAAACTATTTTTACCAAAATTAGGCAGTGGGCCACATGTTGTGCACCCACTCTAAAATATTAAAATTAAAATAAAAAGAAAACAATAAATTATTATTCAAAGATTTTATAAATAGCACAATAGCATAAGATTTCTAGAGTAAAATGTTAACATTAAAAAATAAAAGCACATTTAATGAAACTGTCATACCTTTCATTATCAATGCAAAATGCTTTAAGGTAAATATATGAAGCTGGAAAAATTCCCTTAAAAACAAAGTAAAAAATTTAATACAAAATTGTAATTTATTACATACTAAAAATTAAGTATATTTTAAATTTCAAGAAGTATAGGAAAACATCAATATTCAGTTAATTCTCTTAAAATGATTATTTAAATAAAATATTCTTACATGATAAATATAATTCTCATTTTCAAAAATACCATTTTTCAATAATAGTGCAACTCTTGCATTAGATATTTAATCACTCTCAAATACAATTATCAAAAAAATTAACTTGACATAAATTTAAACTCATTTGTCATCATCTTTTCCATTAAACATAAAAGTGTGTATATGACTTTATATGATTTAAATAGTTTGATGTTATTATAAAATCAAATATCACAAAAACTTAACAAAAAACTATTTTTTGTACTAAATAAAATGTAAAAAGACCAGTTTTGAAAATAGCTCATGAAAACAAGTCATGAAAACAAGTCAAAACAAACTAGGATGTTTTGACTTTTGATTTTTTTCCACCTGTTCAAAGTGTAGCACTAATAAATCCATATCTATATTAGTGCAAGGAACACAATTAAATGCATCTGTTCAAACAATTGTATGAAAATATATTTCATTTAGCCACATTTTAGATGGGCAGAAGAGCAAATGTCCAAATGTCTGCTG